ACTCTCGCACTTAAATTACCAACACCTGTTCTTGATTGATTTGTGGGGTTTAACGTCCCAAAACCACCATATGATTGTGAGAGACGCCGTTGTGGAGGGCTCCGGAAATTTCAACCACCTGGGGTTCTTTAACGTGCACCCAAATCTGAGCACACGGGCCTACAACATTTCCGCCTCCATCGGAAATGCAGCCGCCTCATCCGGGATTTGAACCCGCGACCTGCGGGTCAGCAGCCGAGTACCTTAGCCACTAGATCACCGCGGCGGGGCACCAACGCCTGTTGTTTGGAATGAAATGGAGAAAACTTTACTTAAAACCTGCAGATTAGCGGCCGGGCCTATGGGCCATCAGGTTGGTGGCAGTAAGGTTTAGTCTTTCTGTCGCTTCGTAGGTCTGCTGGATGGCTCAATTTTGGACTTGGAATTCTGAGCTAGCCAAAGCGTCGAGCCAACGCGTCTCAAGGAGGTCCGGATTTTGGTGATCAAAAAGCCATGTAGTGTGTGGGTATTTCCAAAGAATGTGTTCCTTGTTTGCGCAATCGTGTTCACATAAGAGACAGCCAGCATCGTGGAATTGCGTGGGGTATATGCAGTTGAGGTACACGTGGTTTTGAAATGTTCTCGTTTGTAGGCGTCTCCAGTCTACTTCTTGTGACCTATCTAGTTTAGGGTGGGGTTGTGGTTGTATCTCCTTCTGTTTTTTTGTAGTGAGCCAATATGGCGTGGAAGGTAAGAAGCTGATCTTTACCATCAAACTCAGGATCGAGCCCCCTGGGGTTCTGAGATGGGTGTTCCCAGCCGCGTATGGTGAGTTCGCGCGCGGCGAAGCGCGCCTTCTCATTCAGGTTTGGGGGGTCTTGAGATCCTCTTCATCTTCACCCATGTTCGCCGAAATTCATTCCATTACCTCGGTGTATAGCCTGCGTTTTTGAAGTCCTCTGCCTTGTTATTTAGGATTCTGACCACTTCACTAGAGATTCACCCTCTTGTGTAGTTTCGAATTGCCGGTTTGGTGTCGCTAATAATTCTACCATGACTTTTGCTGAATATGGCTAGCGCTATGGCTACTACTTCCGCGGCTTCAGAGTGCCTGGCTTTTACTGAGCTGGGCGACGCTACCATTCTTTTCGCGTCGATCGCCACGGTCGCGAAAGCTTCCTTTTCGGGGTACCTGGCCGCATCCACGAATTTCCTCCGCGATTTGTCTGCCTTCGCACGTGCTCGAGAGCCTTTCGAGTTGGGCTATTTCCTGAGCTTCGATTATTTCGCACAACATGCTGTAGACTCCCAATTTCAGCAATCTTTCGTTGCTGGTGTACGATGGGAGACGTATGGCTCATTTGTAGGCCTTCCTTATGGGAGAGTAAACTGCTAATTTTCTGTGCCGCTGTCACAAAACGAGCGCTCAAAAAGGGCGCGCCGCCAAATTCTTGCGTCGAAACGCCGGAGTGACGCCGCGAGGTCAACGATAAAAAAAAGAGAAAAAAAAACAAACATTCAAAGATTCCCGGGCACGCGACTCTCTCCCTCGGAAGCGTGGGCTCGCCGACGAACCTCCTCAACCCACAACGGCGGCCGAGCAAGCACTCAAAATTTCTAGAAGGAAAGAGGCGTGGTAATGCCGGGTTGAGTCATCCGACGCGGACGGCCCTCGTATCGTCTCTACCTTTCCCTCAGCCTTCGCTGCGTATCGCGCCGACGAAATGAGGAGAACTTTCTGGAATCTCGCACGGAAGGTATTTATACGAGCAGCCGAGACAAGAGATCAGGAGAAGACTGGAAGTTAGCGCCAGAAGCGCGTAGGGATTCCGCCGTGTAGTCGGCGAAGGTTTTGTCCGTAGAGACAAAGCGGGAGAAGAAGATGATTTCCACCTGAGGGGTGACGACTCGAGCTACAGGCAAGAGTATGTGTTTACCGCTATCGAGCGAAGACGCGTGGCAACAGCTGCGTGTGTGAAGCCTGACGTGTTTCCGGCGAAGAAGTTTGAAGCTTGGAGAGTGGCCTATTAAAGACGTGAGGTTTCTTGGAAGAGATACTTCAGGGGCCGCGGAACAGCAACAACGCTGGACTTTGAGTGAATGATTCTCGGAAGAGTATCATCCAGACTTTTGTTCCAAGAACTTTGAACTGAATAGGTTTCCTATCTCTTTAGTCTTTAAGTGTCTTGGTTGTTCAATGCATGCGACTGCATTGTAGTGCGTATTGTTGTCTGTGTCCATTGTTTCGAGTGAGGCTGACTGTACTGTGTAGTACGTTGTTTGATTGGTGACATATTGTATTCAGCGATTGTTGAGTGTGCATATTTATGTATCGCTTTTATCTGCCATTATTGAGAATATAATATTGTTTTGTTTATCAACTCTCGGCTCTGACTTGTTCTTTGGGCCACAGCCGGCGTCCACTGGCGCGCCAAAAAGGACCACTTCTAAATTGTCCACGCTTTCGTGGTGCGGTTCGGGGGGCCCATACTTCGGCCCTTAGACTTAGCCCGGCAATCGCCTCCCTAATTAACGGGACCTGTGTGACAGCCGCATAACCGTATACCGCGGCAGTTTGCCGCGGTATACGGGTATGTGCCGCATGTGTTTCAAGGAAGAGGTTCGACGACGTGCGCGATGGGATTTCCTATCATTCATTCATTCATTCATTCATTCATTCATTCATTCATAGATAGATAGATAGATAGATAGATAGATAGATAGATAGATAGATAGATAGATAGATAGATAGATAGATAGATAGATAGATAGATAGATAGATTAGATAGATAGATAGATAGATAGATAGATAGATAGATAGATAGATAGATAGATAGATAGATAGATAGATAGATAGATAGATAGATAGATAGATACGCTCAAAGTCGCCGAAGTTCGCTAAAACATGCTTCGCATTTAAAAAATGGCAGCATATCCACGGAGTGAATGATGGGGAGTGGGGCGAAGCATTCGTCCGTCCATTCGTTCTTGCTTCCGTCCGTTCCTGCGTACGTCTGTGAAAGCGTCCATGCGTCCATCCACCCGTCCGTGCGTGCGTCTGTTCGTGCGTCCGTCCCTGCGTTCATCCATGCATCCGCACCTGCGTCCGTTCATGCGTCCATCCATGCATCTGTCTGTGTGTCTGTTCGTCCATCTATTCAGTACTCCAAGTACCACCATCTCGCATCTTTTCATCATATATTCTCCATATAGAAGTACCGCCATCCAGCGAACATTTCAAGGACTAAACGGGAGGTGGCACATGCACACTTTCTTACGGCTTGCGCTTCGGGTTTACTGCCCACCTTTAACCACCTCGAGTTCATGGTATATACTAGTTCACTGTATTCATGGCTATGCGGCCCAACGCTCGCTAAACCTTTCTAAAACAAAGGAGGTTACACCCAGCGAGTATAACGTAGCAACCTTTTCTTGTCAGATCGTGCTCAATGTACATGCCAATAGCTGCCAATGGGGATCGCAGCGTGCGCGTTACCTAAAGGCCGAATGCTCCTGTCTCTCAGTCCCCCTTAGCAGCCATTAACATGTGCATTGAGCACTATCTTTTATTGTTCAACAACGCAGTGAATAAATCTCTCACCGGAACCACCTTGGAGGTCAAAATTGTAAGGACCGCTATTTTGGGTATGTGCCACTGGTGGTTACGTACTACGAGGGATGCACAAGCCACGCCATAAGGAGCTTCGCCCCTAAAAACACAGCTGAACGTCCAGAATGGCGTGCCTTTTGCCTGGAATAACCAGTCGCTCTACAAGTCTACTCATCGCCATTACGCTCATGAAGCAAAAGGTGGTACCAACGGAAGCACAGAGATGGTGTTAATTTTGTCGCAAAACATTGCTCTTTCATTCTTTCGTTGCTACTTAGCATTGTTATACGAACTAGTTCAAGCCCAAACAAAACGTTCTGATCTGTAACAGGAAAATACAAAGTATATTGCTGAATACCGAGGATAGTGGCCTAATTAGGTTTTAGTTAAACTATAAATACCAGATGTGTTGATGACATGATTACAGTGGCAAAAAAAAACGCCAGGCCTGCACGGAACACGCAGCACAGTCACAGCAAAAGCTGGAAGAGCAGTCTTACTATACAGCCTTTTTAAACGCTTTAGGATAAACTACTATACAGTTTGACTAGAGTTACTCTGTATGCTACCTTTAGGTTATACAGTAACTGAAAGGTTCACGTGTATGATATTTACTGCTCCATAATTCATCATAACTTTCGGGACGTGGGAAAGCATCTACAGTTCCTATATATTCTTCATCCTCCGTTGAAGCATAGCATCCGCTACAGGTAAGTCATTATGAGCACTTGGTTGATGATGTTACTGACTACAAGGACACTGCAAGCATTCGATGACCCACTATATGCGCAATCCTCAATGCGTGACGCCTATAGTTGTTCCTTTACTCTTCTAAAGTGCTTTATTGCACATGCTGACGTCATTCCCCAACTGACAGAAACCTACATAAGGTCAGTTTTCAGTGTAGTTTCAAGCACTGGGGTAGAATACTGAACTGCCACAAGACAACCACACACTTGCAAGCAAACTGCATACTCGCAGGCACACCCTTTTCGTCGCAGCCAATTAAGTTAATTTATGCTGGGCATCACGTCATTCCAGCCTTGCCGGGAATAAAGTCACTCCTAACACTGCCCGAGACGTGATCCACTGGGTATGTCACCCGTCATCAGAGCAACTACCCTCATAAAGGGCGAAGCAAGTTTCGAGAAATTTGAGTCCTGGAGTGGTCACGCGAAAGACAAATGGTCCCTTATGGTGGAATTCTTATTTTTTACCGTATATAGCAAGACTGAAGCACCCACCCCGTAACAAGTCCCTTAGTAAGCACCAGTCGACAACATGGGGACTACGGCGGAGTTATGCCCACACCAATGCTGTATAGTCGCATCAGACGTTTATACACCACGGAGCAAAGCTTGCGGGGCGACTCGCGTCAACCTCGACCCCATTATCTGGGCATGTACCGTAGTCGCACGTCGTTAAAAACAGCATCAGTCCTACATTTAAGAAAACTACGCCCGAGCAGTGCGAGGCTATGCTGCTGATCATGTGCCTGGATGAGCAACTCTCGGTGGCCCAGCTAGACGGACACGTCGCCAACACTGACAGGTCTTGCCATCGCCTGTGGTAAGGGGGCTGAGCTAAAGCAATAGCCTCCTGACTCCCCCTCCCTCCCACTTTTAGAGTCTGATATGAATCTGTGTAAGACAATTATTGCACATTTTCTAATGTACGTACGTTGATCTTTTGGTTATCAAAACTCCATAATCAAAAAGCCTAACAAATTCATACAATCAACTCTTGGCCGATCCCGCTGAGTGGGTATGAGCCATTTTAAAGGCAACAACAACCTCACCTCACTCGTAAACGTAATAATATCCCCAAGTGGGTAAGCATCATTACTGAACAAGAAGAACAAAGAATTTGCTGTGGCCGTTTTCATTGCAAGGCTTCTCACGCGAAAACCGAAACGTTTGAACTCCTGCAAGTGCTAAGCCGAGCGGCACTATGCCATCCAGAAAGGTCTCCTCGACGGGCCATATGAAGTTCATACCACTGTCATCGAAGCAGCAATCCTCATCTCCGTCATTGAAGTTGCAGAAACAGTCAACACCATTGTTACTGAAGCCGCAGGTAACAACAATGACCCTGAAGTGGCAGTCCACACCCCAAGAATTGAAGCAGCAGCGCATACATTCCGTCATTAAAGCAACAGCCCACACCACCATCGCTGAAGCCGCAGCCCACACCACCGTCATTGAAGCAACAGTCCCGACCACCATCATTGAAGCCACTGTTTTCAGCAGCGGCTACTACCACAACCACCATTGTCGAGACCGCTCACAGGCAAGCTCTTCACCAATCTCGACTCACTTTTTCCTGACGGCTATACCGATACGGCAGCTAAGCAATGCTCTTCGGCAAGCACAGGACAGCCACAGACACTCAAAAGCATTGTAGGCAATCCACCGTTAATGATTCACCAACGCAGATTCACCCGGGCGCTGATAGTAGAAAATAAGCACACGAATGTTGACGAGCAAGTGTACCAGCGAAGACTCAACCTGATCTGGGAAGGGGTCATCTTCGTGGTGATCACATTTGCCTTGGTCACAGTGGGTGCATCATTGTTCTCCCAGACAGGCGAAAGGCGATCTGTGTCTACTGAAAGCCAAAGTACGAGTAACGGAGCTAGAAATTACACATTTAAAGACATCGCGGACATCGGTAACGACGCTAACATCAAGTTCGAAGCGACAGCCGAACCATCCTCCCGATTGGATGTCGATAACGACGCGGTGACTGCGTATGCCCTCTCCTGCGAGGAAGTCCCGGCAGTGTATGACAGAGTCCCTGCTTCGACTAATTCTAGATCATACACACGAAACAGCCGAATTAAGCGATAATGTTTGAAGCACCAGCGCTTCCAGGTTGGCAGAAAGTGGCTGTGTACAAATGCGCATTTGAATATACAAGCATATAACAACCACCAAATAAGAATTTTCTTACGTCATTTGTCACTATATTGTGACGACGCGAGATTGACGAGCACACAAAACGCCTCAAACAAATACAATTTATCGATCACAGGACACACACTGCAACGACTTCTTCGTCTTTTTCCCCTTGGCCAAGGACACTCGCGCTGCTTCGTTGTCGCCACCACTGGCGCATACGCGCGGCATTATTCCCCCTTAAAAAAAGCATCGTCCCGATGTTAAACGTTTGAGAAGCAAGGCGAAACCAAAACTGCACAGTTAGTCACTGAAAGTAAGGCTTCATCCGAAGCACGTGGACAATTTCTGGTGAATGTCTGCGCCGCTTTGAACACTGCACGCCGTCCAGAACAACCTCGTAGTTGACGTCACTAATGCGTCGCAGAACCTTGTAGGTTCCGAAGTATCTTCGCAACAGCTTTTCGGAGAGCCCACGCTGACGAACAGGTGTCCAGACCCATACTTTGTCGTCCACGTTGTATATGACGGGTCTGTGCCGGAGGTTGTAACACTTGGCATCATCGTCTTGCTGTTTGGGGATTCGTAACCTAGCAAGTTGTCTGGCTTCTTCTGCTAGCTTGGTAAACTCTTCGGCGTCTGTCTCATTGCCATCATTTTCATGAGGGAGCATTGCGTCTAACGTTGTTGTAACCTCGCATCCGTAAAGGAGACTAAAGGGTGTCTTCCGAGTGGTCTCTTGACGAGCCGTGTTGTACGCGAACGTGACGTAGGGCAAAATGATGTCCCAGTTCTTGTGCTCTACATCTACGTACATGCTTATCATGTCAGCCAGGGTCTTGTTGAGGCGTTCAGTGAGCCCGTTGGTCTGGGGATGATACGCCGTTGTCTTCCTGTTAGCTGTACCACTTAGTCGGAAAATGGTGTCCAAACGCTCGGATATGAACGCAGTACCTCTGTCGGTGATGACTATTGCGGGTGCACCGTGTCTTAAGACGATGGCTTCGATGAAAAATTGCGCCGCTTCAGCTGTCATTGCCCGTGGCAGAGCGCCTGTTTCCGCGTATCGGGTCAGGTAATCCGTGGCGACGATTATGCACCTGTTTCCAGTGGCAGACTTAGAGAAGGGGCCCAGAAAATCCATGACAATTTGTGCAAACGGTGTCGCCAGCACTCGGACAGGCTGCAGCTGGCCAGCAGGTTTGATGGATGGTGGCTTGCGGCACTGGCAATCTAGACATGCCTGCACGTAAGTTTTGACAACTTCAAGTCTTGGCCAGTAATAATTCTGCCTTTTCCTCGCCACATTTCTTGCGTAACCCAAGTGACCAGCGGTAGCTTCATCGTGACAGGCTTGCAGTACCTCACGGCGAAGCGAAGAAGGAACTACGAGCAAGTAGCTGCTGTCGGTGGGTAAAAAGTTTCTTTTCTAAAGAACGTCATTTCGCACGCAGTACGACGGCAGCCCTCTCGCAAATAACTTCGGAACGCAATTCGTTCGCCCTTGTAGGTAATCTTTAAGTGGTAGCAGCTCAGCATCGCCACGCTGCTGTTGAGAAAAGGCGGAAGTGTCCATAATTTCGAGAAAGGCCATGTCGTCATCGTCGTTGTCCGGGGATGCCGTCTCAACAGGAGACCGAGAAAGGCAGTCGGCATCGGTGTGTCGTTTTCCCGACTTGTAGGCAACAGTGAAGTCAATTTCTTGAAGCCGAAGACTCCATCGTGCAAGGCGGCCAGACGGATCTTTCAAGTTGACTAACCAACAGAGAGAGTGGTGATCGCTGATAACGGTGAATGGGCGGCCGTACAAATAAGGACGAAACTTCAGGACTGCCCATATTATTGCAAGACATTACTTTTCCATCGTAGTGTATTTAGCTTCAGCTCGGAACAGCGTCCTGCTGGCGTAGGCGATCACGTTTTCGTTGTTGTCCTTCGACTGTACGAGCACTGCTCCAAGACCCACATTACTAGCGTCTGTATGAAGTATTGTCGGCGCGTCTTCATCGAAGTGGGCAAGCACGGGGGGTGTTTGCATTCGCTGACGAAGCTCGTGAAATGCCTGCTGTTGTTCTTCGCCCCATCGGAAGGGGGTATCTCCCCGAGTAAGCTGTGTCAATGGCCATGCGATACGCGAAAAGTTAGCAATAAACCGCCGGTAATAGGCACAGAGTCCTAAAAAACGTCACACTGATTTTTTGTCTGATGGCGTCGGGAAGTTTGCCTCGGCGGCAATTTTATCCGGGTCGGGTCGGATCCCTTGGCTGCTCATAACGTGACCGAGGAATTGAAGTTCGTGGAAGCCGAAGTGGCACTTTTCTGGTTTTAGAGTAAGACCGGCCAAGCGTATTGCTTCAAAAACTGCTTCGAGTTTCGTAAGTGTTCCTCGAAAGTCGCCGAAAAGACAATCACGTCGTCGAGGTACACCAAGCAGGTTTGCCACTTAAGTCCCGACATAACCATGTCCATGAGACGCTTGAATGTTGCTGGCGCCGAACACAAACCGAAAGGAAGAACCTGAAATTCATAATGTCCATCGGGTGTAACAAATGCGGTCTTCTCACGATCTCTCTAATCAACTACAATTTGCCAGTAGCCGATTTTAAGTCCATAGGCGAAAAGTAGCGTGCGTTTCGTAGTCTATCCAATGAATCATCAATACGGGGCAGAGGGTAGCCGTCCTTCGTTGCGATCTGATTGAGCTTCCAGTAGTCGACGCAGAAACGCAAGCTGCCGTACTTCTTTTTGATGAGTACTACTGGTGATGCCCAAGGACTGTTAGATGGCCGAATAACACCATCTTCTAGCATCGCTTTCACCTGTTGTTTAATTGCCTCACGCTCCCTTGGGGCAACTCGATAAGGATTTTGCCGGATGGGTCTGGCGTCGGAATAATGCGGCGTTTCGTCAGTGCCGTTTGACCAACTCTTGATGTGGATGAGAAGGAGCCGTGGAACTTGTTGATCAGCGTGAGAAGGCGGTCTCGCTCAATGGGAGATAACATTGGACCAACGTCGACAGGTGTCGGTGTAGTGATAGCAGACGCTGCTGCTTCCTCCACTAAATGACAATCTTCTGTTTGCGAGAGTTCGTCAAAATAGGCAATAGCCGTGCCTTTAACTATGTGTCGGCGTTCTCTGCTGAAATTTGTCAATAGCAGTTCAGCGCATCCATCAATAACAGTGATGACATTCCTGGCAACAGAAATGCCGCTAGTGAATGCGAGATCCTTGATGTGTTCAGCGATGCCAGTACCGTTTTGTAATTTGTCACAGTGCACGGATACGTGGGAACAACTTCGTGGCGGCACTACGACGTCGTCATCGGCAATACGGAAGCGAGGTGGCTGAAGTTCCTCATCTGTAGCAGTGTCGGAGCTTACAGTGAACGTTACGCTTCTGTCACGGATGTCAATAACAGCCCCGTATTCGCGCAAGAAATCCATTCCCAATATGAGCTGTTTACAGTACTCGTGGAGAATGACGAGGGTGGCGACAAAGGTGGAACCAGCGATAAAGAGTCGGGCCATGCACTTTCCAACCGGTGTCATCAACTGACCTCCTGCAGTTCTTATATTGGGTCCCTGCCATGGCATTTTCACCTTCCTTAGTCTTTCGGCTAGCTGTAGGCTTATTATAGAAAAGTGGGAGCCAGAGTCCACAAGAGCCGTCACTTG